ATAACCAAATTGACATGCAAATTAATAATATAAGCAAATATATGCAAGTATATAATATAAACTATATCTGGACACACGATGAATATAACTCGCCATGATAAATTGAAACGCAAGTGTATAATATAAGCAAGTATATAATACGAACAATAACTGGACTCATGATGAATATAACTTGTCAAAGTTAAATTTAAATAGAAGTGTATAATATAAGTAAGCATATGCAAGTATATAATATAAACTACAGCTGGACTCATGATTAAGATTACTCGTCATTATTAAATCGAAGTGCAACTTTATATGCAAGTATATAATATAAACTATAGCTGGACTAATGATAAATATACATTGTCATAATTAAATTTAAATGCAAATGTACAATACATGCAAGTTCATAAAATGAACTATAAATGGACTCTAAATGAATATAACTAGTCATAATTAAATTGAAAAGATAGTAAAAAATATTATCAAGCATATGAAAGTATATAATATAATTTATATCTGGACGCACGATGAATATAATTTATATCTGGACGCACGATGAATATAACTAGCCATGATAAATTGAAACGCAAGTGTATAATATAAGCAAGTATATAATACGAACAATAACTGGACGCATGAAGAATATAACTTGTCATAATTAAATTGAAATGCAAATGTATAATATAAGCAAATATATGCAAGTATATAATATACACTATAGCCGGACAGACGATGAATATATCTCGCAATAATAAATTGAAATGAAAATGTATAATATAAGCAAATATAAACAAGTATATAATATAAACTACAATTAATAATGAATATAACTTGTCATAATTAAATTTAAATGGAAGTGTATAATATATGCAAGTACATAAAAAGAACTATAGCTGATTGCACAATTTGTCATAATTAAATGAAAATGCAAGTATATAATAAATGCAAGAATATAATAAACTATAGCTGAACTAATGATGAATATAACTTGTCCTAATTAAATAGAAATGCAAGTGTATAATATAAGCAAGTACATGCAAGTATATAATAAAAACTATAGCTGGACAGATGATGAATATAGCTCGACATAATAAATTGAAATGCAAATGTATAATATAAGCAAGCATATAATATAAACAATAGCGGGACTAATGATGAATATAACTTGTCATAATTAAATTTAAATGCAAGTGTATAATATATGCAAGTACATAAATTGAACTATAGCTGGACTCGAGATGAATATAACTCGTCATAATTAAATTGAACAGAAAGTATAAAATATTATCAAGCATATGAAAGTATATAATATAAACTGTAGCTGGAGTCCTTAAAAGTATAACTCGTCATCATTAAATTGAAATGCAAGTGAATAAAATAAGCAAGGATATACAGTGAATTCGCGATAACTCGAATCTGATGGGACTGACGAAAAACTTCGACATATCGGAAGTTCGACTTACCGTTAGTTTCGGTTTGGACTTTCAAAATATTGTCGGATTATTTAATTAATGTTTATCAATTACAAATCTTCCAAATGCTTACAATATTTAAGATCATTTTTCTGACAGGACATTTACGATAAGACTGTTTAAGCACTTTATGATACCCTGGTCTATCGGCTGCAACTTTGCTGTTGTGTTTGGCGGGAGAAACTGCAAGTTTACTGCTTTCAAATTAGGTAGATCACTATGCGNTCATAATTAAATTGAAATGCAAATGTATAATATAAGCAAATATATGCAAGTATATAATATAAACTACAATTAATAATGAATATAACTTGTCATAATTAAATTTAAATGGAAGTGTGTAATATATGCAAGTACATAAAAAGAACTATAGCTGATTGCACAATTTGTCATAATTAAATGGAAATGCAAGTATATAATAAATGCAAGAATATAATAAACTATAGCTGAACTAATGATGAATATAACTTGTCCTAATTAAATAGAAATGCAAGTGTATAATATAAGCAAGTACATGCAGGTATATAATAAAAACTATAGCTGGACAGATGATGAATGTAGCTTGACATAATAAATTGAAATGCAAATGTATAATATAAGCAAGTATATAATATAAACAATAGCGGGACTAATGATGAATATAACTTCTCATAATTAAATTTAAATGCAAGTGTATAATATATGCAAGTACATAAATTGAACTATAGCTGGACTCGAGATGAATATAACTCGTCATAATTAAATTGAACAGAAAGTATAAAATATTATTAAGCATATGAAAGAATATAATATAAACTGTAGCTGGAGTCCTTAAAAGTATAACTTATCATCATTAAATTGAAATGCAAGTGAATAAAATAAGCAAGGATATAATATTAACTATAGCTAAACTAATAATGTATAAAACTTGTCATAACGAAATTGAAATGCAAATTAATAATATAAGAATATATATGCAAGTATATAATATAAACTATATCTGGACACACGATTAATATAACTCGCCATGATAAATTGAAACGCAAGTGTATAATATAAGCAAGTATATAATATAAACTATAGCTGGACACACGATGAATATAACTTGTCATAACCAAATGGAAATGCAAATGTATAATATAAGCAAGTAAATAATACGAATAATAACTGGACTCATGATGAATATGACTTGTCATAATTAAATTGAAATGCAAGTGTATAATATAAGCAAGTATATGCTAGTATATAAGATAAACTATAGGTGGACTCATGATTAATATTACTCGTCATTATTAAATTGAAGTGCAAGTGTATAATATATGCAAGTATATAATATAAACTATAGTTTGACTAATGATTAAATTGAAACGCAGGTGTATAATAAAAAGAAATTTATAATATAAACTATAGCTGGACTTACGATGAATATAACTTGCCATAATAAATTGAAATGCAAGTGTATAACATAAGTTCATGCAAGTATATAATATAAACTATAATTAATGATGAATATAACTTGTCATAATTAAATTTAAATGCAAGTGTATAATATTTGCAAGTAGATAAAACAAACTATAGCTGATTGCACAATTTGTCATAATTAAATGGAAATGCAAGTATATAATAAATGCAAGTATATAATAAATGCAAGAATATAATAAATCAAGCTGAACTAATGATGAATATAACTTGTCATAATTAAATAGAAATGCAAGTGTATAAAATAAGCAAGGATATAATTTAAACTATAGCTGAACTAATAATGTATAAAACTTGTCATAACCAAAATGAAATGCAAATTAATAATAGTATAAGCAAATATATGCAAGCATATAATATAAACTATATCTGAACTCACGATAAATATAACTTGTCATGATAAATTGAAACGCAAGTGTAAGGCAAGTATATAATACAAACAATAACTGGACTCATGATGAATATAACTTGTCAAAGTTAAATTGAAATACAAGTGTATAAATGCAAG